AGAGTCTGGAAAAAAAAGAACTGGCATCTGCATGACGCTCTCATGTCTCAGTCAGCAGAGAGTTCCCAGTTTTGCAGTTGCAATCCAAATTATTACAGCTGCAATCTGGAAACCCAGGAGCGCAACACTCCAAGTAGTTGTGGGTGTGGGTTTAAAGGTTCCCCTGAAGGACTGCTCTGGTGCTCTGCAGACATGGGTGGATAAACAGCAACAGCCTGCATCTATGGAGCAATCCAATGATTCTGAAAAGTCCTGATATTTTAAAAATGTGGTTTAAGGTAATTGAGGGTGCATGATTGTAGAAACACCCAAAAAATAAAGTCCTGTGCAGACACTTAATGCACCGATCTGGAAAACATGAGTTGGGAACTACAAAGTGGGAGGGTTAAAAGAAGAATGGATGGATGAATTTCTGATTTTATTGATGGATAGATGAGAAAGTCAGAGTGTCATTCTCTTTGTGATGAGAGTTCCAGTTGGAGAAATAGCTTTCAGAATGACCATTCCTCCAAAGGGTATTCATCTGAGGCTCTTGAAAAAGCATTATGATCACAATGCACCACAGAAAACAGACCACCATTTTACAGTGCCAAATTCACGTTAATGAAATTTGAAAAACAAGTTAATAGGAGTAACGCAACAGAATCTTAATGCATGACCACACAACCAGGGCCGGTGGAATCGATGGCTCATGGATCACTTTTGGAGGTCCTTAACCATCAATCTTCTGATTACCAGGTTTTAAACAAATCCCATGACTGTATGTTTATCACTAACATCAACAGGAATTCCAACTGTAATATGTACATTATGTGACTAGGGATGTAACAATTCACTCAACTCACAATGTGATACGATTCACCATACTGATATCACGATACAATTTTCTCATGATTTTTTTTTTTTTAAGAAAATGAGAACTGAAAAGGTCTTTTGATTATTTGTCAGATAAAATGCTGCACATTTCTTTGCGAAATTTAAATGTCACATAACAAATCTAAATTGAAATTTTAAAACAAATCCCAAATAAATAAATACAAACAAAAAATATCTCTTCATATAAACAAACCAAGGCTTTGCTTGTGCTCTTTCCATTTAAAATTAGAGGCAACTAATGGTCGACCGATATTGGTTTTTTGACAGCCGATATCTTGGAAAGCAGGGTGGCCGATGGCCGATATAAATTTTATTTTAACTAATATTTAAGAAATTTGAAATCTTTGAAAATGGATTAAAAAAAATAAATGTGCAAAATAAGCATACTTATCATTTAGATGACAAAGTATTTTTTCCCAAATAAATCAATATTTAATAAAACAAATATAATAAAGGAAGTAAACACTGTAACCAACAGGGCACTCAGTATTCTGGGAAGTCTGTGTGCATTGGAAATCATATTTTTTTTCCAAATAAAGCCAAGGTAACACTCATTTTACATACAGCACACAGTGGAAATTACATGAATATGGCAGTGGGCAAATGCATAAAGCACAGCATAATTTGAAATCACGAGTTTAAAGTTTGTCGATCGCGCATCTCCAGTGAAGCTGAACTCTCCACCGGTCCGCATTCAATTTGCACGGACCGAAAGTCATGCAGAGAACACGCAATCATGCAGGATACAAATGCACACTTCACAAGATCTCAAAAATGGATCCGACTAAGTTTGCAAGGTTTGTGAAATTAAATGTTCATTAGTCATTCAAAGATTTGTTTAAATTATATAAATTCATATTTGCTGAATGCTGACAGCAAACAAGAAAGTATTATAATGTTTGCCTTTCTATTACTAATAATATAAAAGCAATGATACTTTGTATACATTTTAATTCCTTTGTTTAACCGTTCTATCTGATTATTAGACAGACTTGTATCCGTATTAGACAGAACAAGAGGGAAAATGTGAGCACTGTGTGTTCAGGCGCTACCGTTCTCAGCGCCGTCAAAATAAAAGTCTGATGCGCCTCGAATGCATTGGCCAAACAGGAAAATTTATCGGCCGATGCCGATATTTAAAAAATGCTAAATATCGGCCGATATATCGGTCGACCACTAGAGGCAACCACTGCATTTTAATCATGATCCAAAAAAAGATGCTGCATAAATGTAGCATAAGTTTTTGATTTAAATTAGATTGTATAATTTCAAAATTTAAAGCAAAAACGGAATGCTCTGACTTTAGCTTTGTGAAACTATACTACATGAATGAAACAAAATCAGCAAACGGACTGCATGAGAAAGCAAATCCATATAGGATAAGCGGTTTTGAGGATGGAAAAATGGATGGATACAATTGTTTGGATCTTCAAAAGTGGCCAATCATGCAGAGATTGACCTGAATGAGATTTTGCAGTTGATGATGAAAATATTAAATACTAAGACCATTTTCTTTGGAGTAATATCAGAAGTATAAAGGGTCAATTTTGATTTCATACAGACTTGAACATGACCTAACGAACAATCCGCTATATGATCTCAGCATAAATTCCCTGCTTTGTGACTTTAAATACAATATTTTTATGGCCCTAACCTTTGCAGTAATAACTATGGTAGGGGGATTTATTTTACAACTATGTAACATGGTCATTAACAACCTTTGGGAGTTTGTTCAATCACAACTGCATCATAATTATTCTTGAATACAGAAACAAATAAACCACCGATCTAATGAGGGTTTGATTCTCAACTGCTGAGTCCTGCATCTCTGAAACCTGGAAGACATCAGAGGGAGTCTGTAACTTGTTAAAACTCATTGAAAATGGCCTGCCCAATTGCTTCAAGAGCTAAAGAAAGTGGGACTAAAATACCAGTGCAGGATTTTGGCAGATGTCCTGGCACCTCACTGTAATTTGATATATATATATAGGCAATTATATCACCTCAGTCAGCCTGCAGGCATCCATGTTTCTATCGTAATGAAGCCCAGTCATAAATCAACTCGAACTCTCTCGTGTTTTTTGCATGACATACGTTAACAGTGAGAAATGCCATTTCTCCACTTAAGATGGGTGAAAGAAAGTAGGGGTAGAGAAAGGCTGGACCAGCAAGAGTATGAAAAGTGCAATCTACTTTGTGGTCATATTTCTTCTCTCAGCATTAACATCTCTCATCTAGCCAAATCCAGCTGCTCCTTAGACTCACGATTCCAAGAACAGTTTTTTTCTTTTCACATTTTTGTTATGACTTCATTAAACTTGTATGTAGTGCTCGAAGCTGTGGAATAGTGGTTAAAACACATGCTCCAGACCTTCTGAGCTGTGGTGCTCATGTGGGAGACACAGGTTTGAATCTGGCCACTGGTAGGAAGCCTTAGCTGTGTTTATGATCAATGTGCATGACAGTGGCTGTGAAATTTGTGTTTTAGGTATTGAAATAACATTTTGAGTTTTGATATTTGGAATATGGTCATTGCGCTACTTTGGGCTATTTTTGTCACACAGATCTGGCAACACTGGCTGTGTGGAGCAGAGCAGACACTTTCAGTTTAGAATTGTAGACCAAACACGGTGTAAAACAGACTACCATATCAAGCCTAGTGTTTATGCAACTCCATCATTCTTGTTATGCCCCAAATCGTGGGATGGCAGGGCCTGCAATGTATTTTTTTGACTGCACACTCCCGCCCACAGTAAAGGTAAAACCGCCTGCTCCCCCAAAATCTGTGTTTGGGTCCCGTGGGACCAGTGGGATTCCAATCCCAATGCAGCCCTCTAGAACAGTGGTTCAAGATGGTATGGGACACATTTCAATTCATAGAGTTCTAGTTCCCAATTCTTATCAATTTTCTCACTTTCAACTCTCAAGTGCATTCACTAATTCTTTAACAAGCATATACTTTTAGTACCGATACCACAATGTAATGGTGGTTCAGCATGATAATTTCCTTCATGTAAATAAATGTTTTATGTAAATTACATTGATACTGGTGATTTTCAGAGAGTGGTCTACACAACAATTAATCCCCTTACCCGTCCAACAAAAAAGTAGCAACACTACTTTATACTTGAATGTTTTTTGTCGTCTCTTGGTCTTTCTTCAGACCTATTCTGCTTCTTCGGCCCACCACACATAATTAAAACACTTTTTTATAGAAAACTATGAGTACTGTCTTCACCTCATGTGAGTGTACACCATTCAGATGAAAATGTCACAAAAATGTTTTAATATGTAAAGCATTTAAACTTAGCACCAAACTAATGAAATGAAAAATAACTTGGACATTTTATGTTCATTTATTCACTTAGTAGTATAATGGACAACCAAGCTCCCATGTCTAGTTGCTCTAGTACTACTGTAGCATATTGGTCATGTTTTAAAGAGGGCAAATTACAGATAGGCATCTCTTGAAAAGGGCCCCTGGCTGTGGGTTATAGGCCAATTCAATGCACATAATGAGGGATACCATGTGTGCCGTTCACTTGGTAATACACAGTAAATGGTGAAAAGAATCTGTTGTACAGAGCATTGGATGCTAGCAAATTGGCGGAAATGGGTTGAAGAATGGTGCGAATTACAAAGGGGTTTGCAGGGGGATCTGACACCTAATTAAGGCTTGAACTTCCCAAAGTCAAGTGTCTTAAATAGTACATATGTTAACAGTTTTAACTCTGTAACCCAAAGAAAAGGGAGATTACAAGCCAGAGAGTGTAATTATTTTAGAAGCTTGTGAACAGAGGAGGCATTTGCCTTTAGTAGTAACCACAGCAACTGTGGGCTGCTTGAGCATTAGTATCAATATCAGACCAAAACTAGAACTATCATTATTTATAACTATTATTTAAATTTACTAAGGCTGTAAAATTGGTTAAAACTGTAATCAGATCAATTGCATAATATGTAGATTTTTTTTTTTTAATTACACTAAATGAACAAGTTAATGTGACCGTTTTTATGCTTAAAATGTTTAAAGATGGTTGCTGTTTTCTGCCCCCTTTTTGCCTCAGCTGATGGCAATAAAATCACTTGATAAATTAAGAAACAAACAAAAAAACCAAACCCACCTTGGTGCTAGCCACACCAATCTCTGGGCCAGCATTGATGTGAACGCCACAGTCTGTTTCTCTGGAGATGGAGCTGCCCACAGTGTTGGTGATGCCCACCGTCAGGGCACCTCTCTCCTTACAGTAGCGCAGAGCCAACAGGCTGTCTGCTGTCTCTCCTGAACACACACACACAAGTTCAGATTACTGTCCTGTCTCAAAAACATTATATAACACACACACACACACGCGCGCGCCAACCTGACTGGCTGATGAAAAAGCACACGTCATCTCGGAAGACAGGAGTGTTTCGATCCAGGAAATCACTCGCCAGCTCCACCATGACAGGAAGTTCAGTCAGTTCTTCCAGTACTTGACGAGTCTAAGCGAAACACAGAACCAGCATGAACCAATTATTGTGTTGTAAGCAGACATGATCATAAAGACAATATTACTGTTGTCTATGTAATTTTTTTTAATGTTTTTTTTTTTTTAAGTTTTAAGTTCTGAAACGTACAGTAAATTTTCACAACACGAACTCCAATGACAAAAAGATAATGGAAAAAATTGATTTGTCCTTTAAATGCTGAATTTAAACTTGTACACATCTGTGGCCCCCTTCACACCTGACATTAACATGTGTTTCAAATCTGGACAATCTTCAGCTGGACTGTATCCAATGTAATCAGATTTCAAAATGTTGTCTGTCATATGACAGATAATAATAAGATATCTAGTCTATTGCATTTCCCTACACAGAAATTGTGTTATGTGAGACATGAGTGAAGATTCAACACAGACTGACTGCAACACAAACAGTTTTTGTGGGGTTTGCGGAATTAAATATAAGCACACGTCATCTCGGAAGACAGGAGTGTTTCGATCCAGGAAATCACTCGCCAGCTCCACCATGACAGGAAGTTCAGTCAGTTCTTCCAGTACTTGACGAGTCTAAGCGAAACACAGAACCAGCATGAACCAATTATTGTGTTGTAAGCAGACATGATCATAAAGACAATATTACTGTTGTCTATGTAATTTTTTTTTATTTATTTTTTTTTTAAGTTTTAAGTTCTGAAACGTACAGTAAATTTTCACAACACGAACTCCAATGACAAAAGATAATGGAAAAAATTGATTTGTCCTTTAAATGCTGAATTTAAACTTGTACACATCTGTGGCCCCCTTCACACCTGACATTAACATGTGTTTCAAATCTGGACAATCTTCAGCTGGACTGTATCCAATGTAATCAGATTTCAAAATGTTGTCTGTCATATGACAGATAATAATAAGATATCTAGTCTATTGCATTTCCCTACACAGAAATTGTGTTATGTGAGACATGAGTGAAGATTCAACACAGACTGACTGCAACACAAACAGTTTTTGTGGGGTTTGCGGAATTAAATATTAGATATTTACACTGTCTATTACTAGTGACAAATGTTTTTTTTTTTTTAAGTTTTAAGTTCTGAAACGTACAGTAAATTTTCACAACACGAACTCCAATGACAAAAAGATAATGGAAAAAATTGATTTGTCCTTTAAATGCTGAATTTAAACTTGTACACATCTGTGGCCCCCTTCACACCTGACATTAACATGTGTTTCAAATCTGGACAATCTTCAGCTGGACTGTATCCAATGTAATCAGATTTCAAAATGTTGTCTGTCATATGACAGATAATAATAAGATATCTAGTCTATTGCATTTCCCTACACAGAAATTGTGTTATGTGAGACATGAGTGAAGATTCAACACAGACTGACTGCAACACAAACAGTTTTTGTGGGGTTTGCGGAATTAAATATTAGATATTTACACTGTCTATTACTAGTGACAGAAAAGCAAACACTATCAATATGTTTACATTTACTGGTTTACTTTCTTCAACAATTTTAATTTAACACTGCAATTGAATTTTGACAAATGATTTATTAGCCAAAAATGTTAAACAAAGAAATCTAATGAAAATGGGAGCTCCGATGCATCTGTGCTCAAGATGCTGATGTTCTGAGTGTCGTCATAATAAAAGTCCTGCTTCTGAACTTTATGAGGTAAATCGAAAAACTTTGATTAAGAAATAATTAATAATATATTGATATATCGGCCTTGGTGATACATTGGCCAACCACTAATTACTTTGAAAACTAACTTTTCAAATATAATATTCTGTAGCATTTAAATGTTGTTAGTTGTGCTTAACCAGCTCCAAATGTGATGTCAAAATGTGTCTTCAGTGTGCGCGATCCATTTGCTAGAAAACCCATACTAATGCCAGGTTTGTTTAATGATGTACATACTGCAACCCCAGCATGGTAACTGGTCCCACAGGCAATCATGATGAGCCTCCGACATCTCTGGATCTCTTTAATGTGGTCTTTCAATCCTCCCAAGATCACTGCAAACACACACAAGTTAAGAAAATACAGTATACAAGTAGAAAATCAGCTATTCCCAGTAAGTTCTGTTTCACAATTCACTATGAACTTAGTGAAGGAAGCAGATTAGCCAGAAACTTGCTACAGGGCTCGACAATAAGCAGTGATTGTGAAAAGACGCTCGGGACAGTTGGCGGATTTGTCACTGGCCCGATCGGGCCACTGCTGCATCGTCACGAATGTTTATCATTTGCATGTGTTTTTAAGCCTTGTTAATTTAAAAATTCAAGCGATTTTAAATAATTCTTCAAGACGCAAGACGCGAAAGACAACTCCATTCAGTACCCAGTACTGCATCTTGCGCTTGTGAACAGACAAATACATACAAGTATGTCAAAATACTCATTTTGGCGAGTAACATTGTAGCTTTAACAATTATTAATTGATATTTAATTTATACGAATTAATCAATATTTAATTATGCGTGTAATTTTTTGTTTTATTTCAACTGATCTCTGTTCCGGGCTTGCACAACTGCATTGCAATAATTTTCCAAAATGTAGGCCAGAGACGCTGAAGACAAACACAAAGAGGAGAAAATACTGTAGCAGGCAGAGCAAACTCACGGTTCACGATGCGCGCAATATTGGAAGAAAATCCAATTGAATTGGTGGTGAGGGTTTATAGGAATGTATCTCCGAGGGGAACTGTCTTCAGGAAAGTTTACATGGCACTTTCTTTTCATCTTGCATCTGTAATGCATATTGAAGTAGTATTTAGAAGTGCAGCGCTGCTGTGTTTTCAGCGGTAACCAAAGAAACTGTTCCAGAAGCGCCACCTGCTGTCAGAGTGTGAACCTGCCTCTCATTTAGTCCGTCTGCTGCTTGTTTCATCCAGATGTTTTATGTTGTATAATTTCACAAAGCTAAAGTCAAGACTATTCTGTTTTTGTTTCAGATTTTCAAATTATACAAAATTAATTTGAATCAAAAACAGTACATGTGTGCAGCATCCGTGACTAAAATACAGTGGTTGTCTCTAATTTCAAATGGCTACAGACATTCATTCTTTGTTTCTAGTTAAAAAAAAAAAAATTTAAGAAATATTTTAAAAAGCAATCAGGCAATTTGCTTATATATTTAAAAAAAAAAAAAAAAAAGGCAATCGAATCAGCCATGAAAAATCAAGTTTGGTGCATCACTGAGTGAAGAACATGCAATGTTATTTTACATGTGATTATGCAGTTTTTGTACCCGAACACCTACAAACCTGTTTAATTGTATCTTTTAAATGAAACACGGTTTAATTTGTATCTTTGTTCTATATATTTAATGGTGTTATTGCTTGTAATTTGTTCATTTGTTCTTATTTACTGACAATTCACTTGTCTTTAATTATGTTTAAACTTTATATTTGTTAGGCTAGTAGTTTTTGCTGTGGTATCAAATTGGAATCGAGAATTGTAAAATGTAATTGGGGTCTAAAATATTGGTGTCATATAAGCTTATTTATTAGAATAAAAGACAAGATAGCTCAAAAACACTGATAACAGGAACAGTAAAAATTTGAAGCACTGTAGAAAAAACCCTTAGGGTTGCTACTGCGTTTCTCCTGAAATCTGACTCATTGCTAATGAGTCCAGTTTTACTGACAATGATGCAGTTGACTGACCATTCAGTTCTACCAAAGTCAACACATACACACACACCCCGTCAGCTGGTACATGTTTGCAAAGACACAAATTTTTCTCGTTAATCATTTTCTTCCAACCGGTCTAGCAATATGTCTAAATTCACAAGAATGTTGAATTCCCTAGAAGCTTTACTTGTGTCTGGTCTGGAAATGACTCGCGGATCTGGCCTCACCTGTGTTGTTCTCAAAGTTAACTCTTCCTCGCATGGTGTTGACCACAGACTCTGGCTGCTCAAAGATCTCCTTCTGCATGAAGGAGCTGAAGTTTCCTGTTTTTAAAGAAGAATCAGAGTGAAGTCAGAAAATGCTGAAATACTGTAGAATATTGTGGTGAAGCACAAAAGGGAGCTTTTAGTTGATAAACATCACAAAAGCACGGCATTCTGTTGTGTTGAGCAAATTATGGTGCCATATTTTTGAGGAAATGTCATCTGGAAGTGCTCTCGTCTTAAAGGGCATCTAGGAGGCGTCATAAGCCACGGCTGAAAAATCATTACCATAAATATGGGATTAAGAGATTTCAGCCACTGACGCAGAGCAAAACCAAAGCCCTTCATTTTCTGCTCTTTTCAATTCTTTTCTCACAGAATCATTGAATGCGAGAATAACTGAGGGAATGCTATACCCTGAAATTAGGTCATGAGAATTGTATTTATTTATTTTTTCACAATAGGTCAGATGAAATGCAGGGAGGCGCAGAGAAATGGGGTAATGAGAGTGGATGGAGAAGGAGCAAAAAAGGAGGAGAAATATAAAGCAGTGCACATCTGAAGCGATGTACTGCTCTCTGGTGGCTAGAAAGAGAGCACACATTTGCCCTCTGACAAATGTCAAGCTCCTCGAGTTCAACCGTACTAGTGACTGCTATGGTAGATGCACAGCCATAGTCCGTTCAGAGTGCGTGATTCACACACACACAACTGGAAAGCTCCAATCAGAACGCTCGACTGCGATGCAAGTGAGAGGAGAGCAAAGAGATGAAGGTCTCTTCGAACATGTGCAATATACAATTTCTGGTCACACTTCGGTTTGGGAATCAAGTCTCACTATTTACTAACTATAAACTATGACTTTTGCCTCAAACTCATAATTGACTGCTTGAAAAACACATGCAATAGTGATCCCAAAAGCCTAGCTGTTATATGAAACTGATTGGTTTCCTAAGAGCACGGTGCAAATCAGTGTTTAACGGCATAATTTGTGCATTACTGTTACAGTTGCCCTCTTTGATTGATTCAGTTCTCTCTTAAAGGTTTATATGGCAGAGCTGCATTGAGAAGTTTGTCCATAAACGTCCTGAAAACTTAACCTTACAATCTTAATGTGAGTCACATAGGGTGTGGTTGGCATCTGTGTGTTTCCCCAATTAAAGTTGTGTGTAATCATGTCTAACAGGCTCTTCAATTTCTAAGCAAACATCTCTCAGTGACGTGTGAAGAGTAACCTCAGACTTCACAGGGAAAATATGATTACCAAAATACACAATACTTCGAACATAGCAAATAATTAGCATGAAGCATAAATAGATTGGGTGTGGGCTGGGGCTTTTCTTCTGTTGCTCCGTTTCACGTCAGTGTGTGTGTGTATATATATGATGAATGATTAAACTTTGACAGCCAATCAGAATCCACGAGCTCGGGCATTTAAAGTGCCAGGCGACAAAACTGCAGCATGTGCTTATAATAAATCATCATCATCATCCTTTGATGTGGACGCTAATAAAATGTTTGCCATAGTTATTGTTCTTGGTGTGATCAGGTCTGACCAACTACAGTCTTTTATTTAATGGTTTATTGGTTTAATTGATGCTTTATTATTTAATTGATTAATCTGTAATTGATACATTTTCTTGAATAATTTCCAATTGACCGTATTGAATGTTGCTTGATCAGTTTCAGTAGAATCAGCACAAATGTGCTCCATAGAAAGTTGTGTGTAATCATGTCTAACAGGCTCTTCAATTTCTAAGCAAACATCTCTCAGTGACGTGTGAAGAGTAACCTCAGACTTCACAGGGAAAATATGATTACCAAAATACACAATACTTCGAACATAGCAAATAATTAGCATGAAGCATAAATAGATTGTGTGTGGGCTGGGGCTTTTCTTCTGTTGCTCCGTTTCACGTCAGTGTGTGTGTGTATATATATGATGAATGATTAAACTTTGACAGCCAATCAGAATCCACGAGCTCGGGCATTTAAAGTGCCAGGCGACAAAACTGCAGCATGTGCTTATAATAAATCATCATCATCATCCTTTGATGTGGACGCTAATAAAATGTTTGCCATAGTTATTGTTCTTGGTGTGATCAGGTCTGACCAACTACAGTCTTTTATTTAATGGTTTATTGGTTTAATTGATGCTTTATTATTTAATTGATTAATCTGTAATTGATACATTTTCTTGAATAATTTCCAATTGACCGTATTGAATGTTGCTTGATCAGTTTCAGTAGAATCAGCACAAATGTGCTCCATAATCAGAGCAGTGGGCATACAGTACATTAACGCATTAGAATAGTGGACATAATGTATTCATATATTAATTAATTAAATATATGCATTTAATTTGTTGTTAAAACAAGCACACTTGTTACTTGTAGTCCAGCATGTGTATGTTGTATTAATGTCAATTAAATGATTAATACTTTTTCCTGACAAGTGACATGAACCTTGCAGACAATGTTTAATTTAAGGACTAGTGTTTCCTCTGAAAGTTCCATCCTTGAAACTTTGCGTCCAGCCCACTTATAAAAACTGCACAGAAGCCAGTCAATCAGGTTGCAACTGGTGATTTCAATCAGCTCTTGCTATTTTTGTGTATGGTATGCATCTGTCCTTACCCTTCATGATCTGCTGCAGCTCCATCTGCAGGGTCTGGATGGCGCGGGCCGGGTGATCTCCCGCTGTGCGCTTGATCCGATGGATGGAGAGACGCCCGTCACGCACTGCTGCGATATCATCGTCCTCGAGGAAGATGACCCGATTGGTGTGCTCGATGACAGCACTGCAGTGACATCAAATAAAGACATTTAAATCACCTATTCTGTTTAAATCCACTCCATTCTTTTTGGGTTTTGCTTGAAAAACACCAGAGCAAACAAATCCCCTCTGCTGCACAATATAAAGATAAAACCAACAAAGAAAGCGAATGGATGAGGCGAAACAGAAAGGAATAGACCTGGCATCAGATGCAAAGTAGTACTCCACGGCTTTCTCGTCCACAGGAAACAGACACGTGTCCTCGTCCATTCTGGGAAGAGTATTGCAGCTCTTTTTATCTTTACCAGCTATATAAAAAAACACAAATAACATTATTAATCATCACAGAACAAATCAAAGGGAAAATTAACAAAAACTTGCAGTACTTTTTATGTGTTTACATTTTATTCTTGGTAACTCTAAAGAGAATATATACACGAATTACATTTATGATGTTAGTAAAAGCTGAAAGGATCATTTGCTATCAGAAGCAAGATACTGCAAGTAAAATATGTGTACAGTATAATGCATGACAACCTTTTTGCCACTATATGAATGCTTATAAATTAATTAATCAATTTTTACTTTATTTCTGGACTACCTACTTATTTGACAAATACAGTTGAAAGTAGATTAGTTCTATTGAACAGAGATGGGCCAGTGGAATCTGAGCACGTTGCAGGACAGACTTGAACATGTTTGAGCATTACGCTCAATGACTTTACAGCATATGTGCGAGTTATTTACAAATATAAACTGTGCTTCATGCAGAGAGAGGTCAGTGTGTGTTATGAAGGAAGTGTGTGAACTCACAGGAGCGATACAGGATGGGGATGTGATCTGTGGAAAGCTTGTGATCACTTCTAACTCCAATCAGTAATGGACCTCCTCTCCTGGATGGATGCAAAGAAATACCCATGAGATGTTCAAATAAGGCTGATTTGGCAGATCCTCTTAGTTGTACTGTAATACAGTACCATTGATAGGGCTGTCAAATGATTCAAATACAGTGTATTGCAAGGTAATTATTGTCTTAGTTAACACACATTCAGTGCATTTGTATATAAAAGATACAGCTGGCTAATGAGAGCTACAGAGAATAAGCGACTGTAATCGAAGTCTGTTTACAAGGTGTTACAGGTGTTTAAAGTCCCTATGAAATCTAAATTGTTTGGCTTTTAGTATGAATATGTTAGCCTTATAGTTATGTATAAGCTTGTGTGCTCCAAAACGATGACAAAATTCGTATTTAGAAGAAATAAGCATTAAAAACGTACAGTCTCTCACTTCCGGCAATATGGATCAACGGTTTTGATGACGTCACCCCCCACTTCAGCTTCTCATCAAACTTTGTCCAATCAAATGCTCTCTAGAATTTGAAATGTCCCGCCCCCTACACTATAAATAGATGCTGAAGCTGTGGCTGAAATAGGTCACTTGTTCAGAGTTGGTATTTTCTGTATGCTGAATGGCACGTAGTGCACTATTTGGGGAATAAGGAACGATTCAGACAGTGTAAATATGCTTTCCAATGGGTCGAAGGAGTCTGGTTTCGCTTTGTCACGCGCACAGTCTGCTCCGGTACAGAGACACGATCAAGGAGCGGATCATATGCGCGAGTCGCGCAGACCACAAAATGAATCAGACCCATTTGAATTCTACACAGAATGCTGTATTTTATAGTGATTTGGATCAGATTAGGAGGAGAAACGGTTAGACAAGCCCTGCACCAACCTACACAATTTTCAAGCTACACATCCTCAGCATCATTATAAATCCCAGTTTTGCTTTAGTAAGAGTTTCATATTGAATCTAAAGAGCTAATCTATTAGACTGTGGCTGTCATAAGCGGTCAAATGCGGCGTTACCGAGCTCAAAGGCTCTGGCCCAAGCTGTGATAGAAGCGAAACGCTATTGGCCATTTAAAAAGGGGGCGGGGCTGCGCAATATGTCCCGCCCCATCTTCCCGTTTCAGTTGAAATGACGTCACCACATAGCACAACGCTACGCGTTTCAAGGCACTTCAGTGGACCTTTAACTAAGATTAATAAATGCTGTAGAAGTATTGTTCATTCTTAGTTCATGTTAACTAAAGTAGTTAACTAATGAACCTTATTGTAAAGTGTTACCATAATAAATGCTTTAGACTTATTTGTCATTGTTAGTTCATGTGAACTACTGTAGATAACTAAAGTACATGAATGGAACAAGCGTCACCTAAATTTTATCCTAGTAAGACTGCAAATGGCTTGCTTTTGTTAAACGCCCCATCTGGTTTCATTTATAACTGTTCATAGAGAACGACTTGAACCTTTTTCCTTTCTCCTGATATCGGGAGCTCCACTAGGGGCTTTGTGTTTGTGTGCACGACTGCTCAGAAGCTCATGATCGGTTCTTAGAAATCACACCAAACAGAATGAAACCGCAGAAATGAATGCATTAACGCATTTAATTGAGCACATGCGTGAACGCTGACTACATAAGGTAGAAGTTACCTGCTGCCCACTGCCTCTCCTGGATAGTGCAAACTTTTGAAGACCAAGACAAAAGCTCCTTCCTAAAGTAGAGAAGACGTTTATTGCCACATCATTCTCATTACTTGTGACCTTTAGAGTGCCCATCATCGTCAAGGTGACAGAAAAGGTGTTTACTAGTTGCTGGGTGACTTGCTCCACGAGGGTGGTGAAGGTGATGGCATCGTTCTCCCGGTTATCATACATGTACTTCACTAGCTTAGCGATGGTCTCCGTGTCCGTCTCGGACTCAAACTCATAGCCTTTACTCTCCTGTACACATACAAACAGAAACGGTCAACATATAGACACACGTCGGGTGGATGAATGGATGGATGAGGACGTTGTTTTACTTGCCAGAAATTTCTTCAGGTCTTTGTAGTTGGTGATGATTCCATTATGGATGACAATAAACTCTGCAAGCAAATCAAATAATGACTACAAAATTGGAACACTTCCATCCAAAATATTATTTGAATGGAAAATTGTGCAACTAGATAGGAGTTATGAAAAGCAGGCTGCTAACTGACCGTTGTTCTTGTCAGATCTCTGCGGGTGGCTGTTGACAGGGCTGGGGGCGCCATGAGTGGCCCATCGAGTGTGAGCGATTCCCAGATGCACATCAAACTCCACATCAAGATCAACATCCTGCTGCCCTGTGGAACAGATGTTTACATACAAACTGCTAATACCACATTTCAAATCAATAGCGACACGATCGCACTTAGAAATACAAATGGAACAGAAAAACACTTTACACAAGTGAAAGTGTGTGATGTGTCAAGAAAAGAAAAAACCTTGTTTAAACATGTTGCAAGTTCTTTGAAATGTACTGGTTTCACAAAACCTTTATATATATATATTTTTTTTTTTTACTTATTGTCGACATGTTTACAGGGATAGTTCAATTCTGTCATCATTTACTCATCCTCAGGTTGGTCCAAACCTGAAGGAATTAGTTTGTTTTGCTGAACACAAAAGAAGATACTATGAATAATGTGGAACCAAAAAGTTGCTGGCAGCCATCGACTTGAATTAAGTAGTTCATCAAAATTCTTTTCAAACTGTTTATGTGAAGTGAAAACAGAAACTATAGTGCAGACACCGCACTCAAGAATTTCTTGCAGAAAAGTTGAGAATGCGACACGTACTTGCATCGTGCGATTTGCTCATGTGATGCTTTTTGAAGCACATTAGCGTGAAGTCTAGATTTTATTGCAAGAAGTGTTCTCATACTGGCTTATAGTGTGTTTTGTGCCTAACCCTGACCTGTGAAATTACCACTATTACTTACTATGGATTTCCTCATCCAGGGCTTTGACTTTTCCTGTTTGTTTGATCAGGTGGATGCTCTTGGAGTTGGTTTCCCATTCCTTACTGTTCCCCCCATCGATACCCACACCAGCAGAGTCATAGCCACGGTACTCCAGGCGGTGCAGACCTTTGATAAGGACCTCAAGGATCTCACGCCGAGTGTGGGGCACGTGATAATTCAGATACGCAAAGATGCCTTTAGAGAGAAAAAGAAAGTGTTTGTTATTATGGACAGTGCTGTGAAAATCTGTTTATTTGCAGAGATTAAGACTATGGCTGCATTCCAATTCACACACTACCAATGCTATACAAAATACGACATCAGATATAAAAGCTGTTATATCAGTTTTCAAATAGATGAGCCTCAAGGTGACCAAGTAATCTAGACAGCAAACTGAAAATGCAACAAGTGAGTTTTGCATCCAAATGCAAAGTCATGTACAGGTTGAGTAATAGGAGTTTTTAAACGGCTGAATGGCTGATACGATAAGATCTGTTAAAACTGATGAAATCCCAAAAATGATCAACTTTACTTAAACTACATGCATTTAGGAACTATTTTATAAATGCATGTTAGTTATCTTATCGCGAATGATTTAATGCATTTAATTTTTTGCCCTTGTAATTTCCATTTGAAATAGAACTCAAAACAACTGATTCCTCTCTTATAAATCAACTGCAAAATTGCATTCAGATCAACAATTTGGGGGGGGAAAAAAAAACACAAAAAACAGTTGGATCACAATATGTGAAAAGATTTGATGCTACTTCCATTTCTTGAAACGTCCCGAGACTTTAAATTTTGGACAACAAAAACTCCGGTGAGAGAAACTGGAGCTGAAATTAACATACAATTGATATTACACCTGTATTATTAAAAAATATCCAACATATTTCAGTGTGTAAGTCTTCATCAAGGTTTGATACAAATGCAAGACATCAGCATGTAAGCCTATTCCTTGGAAAACCGCAGCGTCTCTAAAAACAGCACAGCAAACAAACAGTAAAGAAAGCGAAAGATTCACCCTGATGAAGTAGCAGCTAGATAAATAGCCAACAAAAGCAAAGAGTGACGTTAGTTCTGATAAGCAAGTCTGGTAAAGCAGACAACCAGTTTGACATCCTTAAGTAACCACTGAGGGAGGATACGCACTTGAGAGATGCCACAACACACACACATTGCGTACTATGGATGCCATTAAGCCGCCGAATGGAAAGAAACATCCATCTTTGTGGATATATATATATATACACACACACACACACACACACACACACACACACACAGAGCAGTCAGAACAAAATCAATGATAGGGAGGAAATCAGCTCAGCAAAAACTGTGACTGAACAGTGAGATAAAGTCTAAATAAAGAAAACGACTGGTTTGAATGTCTGTATCTTCGTAGGGGATAAATGCACTCCAAGTACAGCACTATGAAAGGACAGAAACGTCACAGAAGCGCCATTCAGTGGTCTGGGTGTGGGCACTGCATACTATGTGTGTGTGTGGGGGGGGGGGGGGGGGGAAAACAAGCGGTATCCGTCTGTAGAGGTCGGGCTGAGTGCCGAGGTCAGGCCAAAAAAAAAAAACACACGAGCCCAAATCCATGAAAAAAATATGTCCTTTAAGCATTCATGTACCCTGAATGTTTAAAGTTTAAAGCAGTTTGGAGTCGGTTTTATTTTAGTCGATTCTTATGTTCACCAAGACTGATTTTGATAGCAGTAAAAACAGCAATATTGTGAAATATTACTACAACTTAAAATAGCTGTTTCCGGTTTTTAATGCATTTTAAAATGTAATCAAAAAGCTGAATTTTCAGCATCATTCCTCCAGTCTTCAGAAATCACTCTAATACGCTGATTTGATAAACATTTCTCATTATTATGTAAAAACAATTGTGCAGCTTAATATCTTTCGGGAAACTGTGATCTCTTGAAGAATCTTTGATGAATAGAAAGGTCAAAAGAACAGCATTTGTTTGAAATAGAATTGCGTTACATTATTACTGTCAGTACTGATAAATTTAATGCATCCTTACAGGGGGGGGAAAAAAAAAGATGTGTTTCAAAATAAAAAAATCTCACCGATCCCAAACTTAGTAGTTTGACGACATTGCTTTTTCCAAAGAACATGAACTATTGATTTTTTTTTTTTTTTAAAGAGAGAGACATTAAACGTGTAACAGTACATTTCCCCTTTAGTTGCTAAAAATGTCAAATTAGTTTTTCCATTATATATTTGTGTTTCTCTGACTCGTAGAATTAAATAGGAGTTTGTCGCTGTACCTTCATTACTTCTGCATACAAAGAAAGCATCCATGCAGTATGCAAATTATATGTGCATGACCTTTAGCGTAGGATACACTGAACTCTTATTTCCCCCGAAAAGTGCAAGGAAATTCTGTTTTCTATTTCTGAGGCTGTCAGAACGAATCTAATCCAAGACTCTAGTCTACAGACCAAAAAGAACAATCCCTGCCTTTCGTCAAGGCTGTCTGCAAACTCCTGAATGTCTTGTTTATCTTAAGAAGAGGTCAGACAGATGTAGCTTATCAGAAGAAGAAACCTTTGGGAAAAGAGCTTCCAGCTGGCCATTCTCTCTCTTCCTCACCTCTACCAGAGACAAAGGACACCTGAGCCCTTCTCCACAGAGTCATTCAAAGCACAGAGTATTCAGCTGTAACATAAGCTGTAGTGTTTCTCTTAGGCGTTGACCAGCAAACCAAACCTGAATTCGAGGTGTGCTCATTTGTAAATGAAGTTATGTGACCTGTTCCACTGGAAACAGAGGCCTGATCATCTCCAGATAATGCAATGTTTGAGGTTTAATGATTAAACACTGTGGATCTTGTCTAACAGGATTACACAGTGCGCTTTAATTAAGGAGCATCAAGATTCCGAGCGACGCATAATCTGTATGGTTAGGGTGACCATACGTGCCTTTTTCCCAGGACGCGTCCTGGCCAGTGAGTGGACTTTGTCTTTTTACTTTTTTGAGTTTACTGTTTACATTTGTAATTTTTGCCATATCTTTTCCGGTGTTAAATATTTTGTTGCTATTTTGTATAACTGAATCTGAATTAAAGCGAATAAATAAATCAGATTTATGATGTTGTTGTTTTTTTTGTTTTTGTTTTTTTTAGAAAATTGTATGCATCAGATAAACAGGCTTTTGAGGAACAAGTTGGCTATTTGTTCATCTCTCAGTCATTATTGTATTGGATTGAATTATATGTATTGCCCCCAACACAATTAAAACTATAGAGCTTTGATATAATCTAAAACTTATTACTGGCAGATATAGAGTGACACCCGATATGTATGCATTTTATGTAGGCTAAGTAGTCTGTACTGTTAAAAATATTGATAATATGAATTAATTTAATCTTTCTCTTTGGCCATATACAGTGGGGAAAAAAAGTATTTAGCCAGCCACCAATTGTGCAAGTTCTCCCACTTAAAAAGATGAGAGAGGCCTGTAATTTTCATCATAGGTATACCTCAACTATGAGAGACAAAATGAGAAGAAAAAAAATCCAGAAAATCACATTGTAGGATTTTTAAAGAATTAATTGGTAAATTCCTCGTCTCTCATAGTTGAGGTATACCTATGATGAAAATTACAGGCCTCTCTCATCTTTTTAAGTGGGAGAACTTGCACAATTGGTGGCTGACTAAATACTTTTTTGCCCCACTGTATAAATAACATCTGCACCTAACTGCACAGTTTAGTTTAGTTTGAGCCTCTAAATAAAGCTGATGTGTTTTTACATCCTTGTGTATATGAGCTCCTCTCTATAGAAAAAGCCTGATGCATTAAATATGCTACAAAACATATAACACATTCGAACAACATTACACACCTTTTTCTTTTTATAGATTTCCTTTTATATTTTGTCTAAATTTTGAATAAACTGTTCCATTAAAAATATACTTTTTCTGACTCTGCCTCCGCAAAATGAATAATGCTTTTACCAGTCTGCATAAACACAATAAAACAAAAATAAAGTGCAAGAATGGGAATCTGCAGCGAATTATATTTTTCAAACAAATATGCTTTGATATGCTTTGTTCAATTCTCATTTGACCATGGTTTCTAACTTGTATCTTAAAATCTAAATATTAGTGTGGTTGGTTATATATATATATATATATATATTAAGAGGCTATTAACCAAACATTTCCCTTTATTCATTTATGCTGTTATCAAAATGAGGAACCGAGTAGAAACTGATAAGAGTACTGCCCAGATAGCACATGAATGTCTGCAAGATGTCTATTAAAGATCGCTTCATCTGGAAAGCATCTGCTGAGTACAAACATCTGATCGACATCTTTAAGATGTCGGTTTTACATGCATTCTAAATCATAAACATCTTAAAGACGTCTTATAAACGTCTATTTGACATCTGATAGACACACTGCAGATGAGCAAACACTAAAAAAAATACATCTTGCAGATGTAAATGCATTCAAATAGACGTACATGTGCTATATCAGGGTATGTGTTTCTAAAAGAGCTCCTTCTGTATCTGCACATGTCCAAGAAACATTTGATTCAAATGAAAACATTCAGCTCGATCGAGCTCGCAGGAGTCGCAGCTATATTATGATGCAACAGAACAACTGCCGCAAAAGATCGAAGCAAACTGCAAGCAAGGGCCAGCTGCAGAAACATAGTCACCACGTTAAAGGGGTCATATGATGCGATTTCAATTTTTCCTTTCTCTTTGGAGTGTTACAAGCTCTTGGTGCATAAAGAAGATCTGTAAAGTTGCAAACACTAAAGTCTCAAATCCAAAGAGATATTCTTTATTAAAGTTAAGAGTTAACCACGCCTATCTAAAACTGGCTCTAGTACAGCTACACAACAGCATTAATAACAGCCTGGCTGCACACCCTGACAGTGTCTTTATAGCAGCAGGGGATTTTAATCATGCTGACTTAAAGACTGTATTTCACAAATTCCATCGTAATGTGAACTGTGCAACTAGAGGAGATAAAACATTGGATCAGGTGTATACCAATGTGACTAATGCTTACAAAGTTCAGACATATCCTCATTTGGGTTGGAGTGATCATATCTCACTCATGCTCCATCCTTGGTATACACCCACTATTAAGACTGCTGGGCCCATGGTGAAACCAGTTAGAATATGGCCTAAAAATGCTATCCCTGAGCTACAGGATTGCTTCCACTACACAAACTGGGATGTTTTCAGAGACTGGGAATTATTAACATGCCAGACCCTTGATGAGTACACCACCACAGTGATGGATTATATAAATTTCTGTGTAGACAGGGTTACATCCTGGAAGCTCATCCATGTCTTTCCTAACCAAAAACCATGGATGACACATGAGGTTCAGCTGTTGATTAAGGCCAGGGATGCAGCCTATAGGTCTGGGAACAGGGGGGCTTACAGCACAGCCAGGTGTGCTCTCAGAATTGGCATCAAGTCTGCCAAACTGAATTACAAAAGGCGGATTGAAGCCCATTTTAACACCTCTACAAACTCCCGACAGGTGTGGGAGGGAATTAGGGCAATATCAGACTACAAGGGAACAACATCTGCATCTGTGAGTAGTACTTCCACTCTAGCAGAGGAATTAAATCTGTTTTATGCCCGTTTTGATTGGGAGAACAAGGACGCTTTGTTGCCCCACCTGCCCTCCAACGACAACACTGCACCAGTCCTGAGCCTTCATGAAGTAAGACTCTGCCTGAGCAACATCAACCCCAGGAAGGCATCCGGTCCGGACGGTGTGCTGGGCCGGGTGCTAAAGGACTGTGCGGCCGAGCTGGCAGAGGTCTTCACCACCATCTTTAACCTGTCACTGTCCAAGTCATGGGTTCCAGCATGTTTCAAAGCAGCTATAATTATCCCTGTCCCTAAACAAGCAAGTGTCACATGCCTGAATGATTACAGGCCTGTGGCACTCACACCTATCCCTGCCAATTGCCTAGAGCGGCTGGTCATGAGACACATAAAAAAAGGCCTTACCATCTGCTTTTGATCAGAACCAGTTTGCATACCAGAAGAACAGATCAGTGGAGGATGCCATTGCTATTGCGCTTCACATACTTCTGGAACACCTGGAGCACAAAAACACCTATGCAAGGCTGCTCTTCATTGACTTTAGTTCGGCTTTTAATACAATCCGGCCGAACACACTCCTGCGGAAACTGTGTAACCTTGGATTGAACAACTCATTATGTAACTGGATACTGGACTTTTTAACCAACCGCTCTCAGTGTGTGAAAACAGGCGAGCACATTTCAAACACCATATACATCAACACTGGTGCCCCTCAGGGTTGTGTGCTTAGTCCACTACTCTACACGCTCTACACACATGATTGTTCTGCCTCCCTCCCCACTAATTACATCGTTAAATTTGCAGACGACACAACTGTGCTCGGCCTCGTAACAAACAACAATGAGATGGCATACAGGGAGGAGATTGAACTACTGGCAGGGTGATGTAAAAAGCATAACCTGACTCTTAACATTAAAAAGACTAAAGAAATTATAGTTGACTTTCGTAAATTAAACCATCCTGGACATTCACCTCTCTACATTAACATAGAGGCAGTAGAGAGGGTGAACAGTTTTAAATTCCTGGGCCTCACTGTATTGGAGGATCTGTCGGTCTTAAGAGTTTGGCTAACTAGCTGTTAACCAAGTGGTTATCAGTCTTACTTTTCAGATTCAAATTAGACCAATCCAAGTTTTTATGTAACTGCCTTTAAAGTTATGGGCAGTCTTGCAGAAAAAATAAATAAATAGGTGTCTAATATTTAAGACTAGTCTAAGCAGTTTATGCAACCGGCCGTGTAGTGTGTGATCAGGAAAGTCACATCAAGCAGAATTGCTAAACAACCGAGGCTCGCTGTCACACTTCACTAGTACCGACTAGAATGGCGTTATTTTTAAAAGTGTTTCTGCAGTTACACATAATATCATTCACATTTCCTATTTCTATTGCCCCTGGAAAGAAAATTAATAGCTTATTATCCTTTTATGATTGTTAAACTTAACGTATATCATTGCAAACGTTACTCTGTGCTCTAAAAATAGACATATTTTAAGACATCGTGCAATGCGAGGTCTTTCATAATCTAGAGAAACGTGCGAGTATGTCACGCAGTGTCTCAACTATACCCGGAGTGGTGTCCCATTGCGTCACATGTGGTTTCGTTGTACGGTGTTATGATAATAGGTTAAAAGTCACATTTACACACATGCTACGCAAATTATGTTTAAAAATGTGTGATATTTCAACTGTCTATTATTAGTGGACATATTTTTGTGTCTAACATGAATGTTAAAAGGATGACATAGCATTTTAAGAAATATACAAGCTGGTAAAGTGGGTACAATTTATAAACCCTTTATAAGTCACTATAAATTGTATGCATTAAAAGTTCAATCTTAGAGAATGCATATTCAGAGGCTGTGTGTGTGTACTGGTATTAACTATGTTATGGGGACCATAACAAGTATAGCAAAACCAGTAAAGTCTAACCTTATGGGAACATTTTTAGGTCCTCATGAGGAAACAAGCTTATAAATCATACAGAATGACTGAAAATGTAAAAATACCGAAAGTTTCGAGTGATGGGTAGATTTAGGGGTAGGGTTATATAATATACTGGCATGTAGGGGGAGTGTGTGTGTGTGTGTGTGTACATGTTTTTCTATCCCGGTGGGGTCACTGTGGGGACCTAAATTGAGGACCGCATGGGGAAACAAACTGATAAATCATACAGAATGAGTTTTTTTGAGAATGTAAAAATGCATAAAGTTTTCTGTGAGGGGTAGGTTTAGGTGTAGGGCGATAGAATATATGATCTGTACAGTATAAAAACCATTACACCTATGGAGAGTCCCCACAAGGATAGCAAACCAGATGTGTGTGTGTGTGTGTGTGTGTTAGGCAGTGTAGTCAGTGAGTAGACTTTGTACATGTTTTTCTATCCCGGTGGGGTCACTGTGGGGACCTAAATTGAGGACCGCATGGGGAAACAAACTTATAAATCATACAGAATGAGTTTTTTTGAGAATGTAAAAATGCATAAAGTTTTCTGTGAGGGGTAGGTTTAGGTGTAGGGCGATAGAATATATGATCTGCACAGTATAAAAACCATTACAACTATGGAGAGTCCCCACAAGGATAGCAAACCAGATGTGTGTGTGTGTGTGTGTGTGTGTGTTAGGCAGTTCAGTCAGTGAGTAGACTTTGTCTTTTTACTGTTTTGAGTTTACTGTTTACATTTGTACAGCCATATCTTTTCCGGTGTTAAATATTTTGTTGTTATTTTGTTTAACTGAATCTGAATTAAATAAAGCAAATAAATCAAAAAAATTTTTTTAATGCAATTTATTACATTTGCAATAAATGGTTAGCAAGCTTTAGAGCATTAAGAACGGGTGTCTCAACTGTACCATGGTACTGTTTCAACTGTACACTATATAGGTACAGTTGAGACAAAAATGCACCTTATGTTTATGAGCTAATTGTGGAAAAAATAAACTATACTTGACACTTTGTTCCTTGTCAGTCTGGTCACTGTATGAAATAAATACATTCAATTGTTGTTATTTTCTATGCGTGTGCTGAAATATGCAGATCTTGCAGCTCTCAAGGCCAGTCTGTAGCTACAAACACTATCCTTCCATGCCCCATGAAACGCCACTAAATTTGTACTCTTCCACCTGCGCTCTTTGTCTTCAAATGTGGGGCGCAACACTTTCTAGAGTGTCAGAGAAGACTGTATTCATATTTTCTATCCTAACACAAAATTCTTACAGAGCATTTGTGATTGCTGTAATATTTTGTTTAGTTGTGCAGGCTGTGTTTGTTGTTACGGAGTAGCCTTTTTTTCTGGGTTCCAGCACACGTATGAGTACAGGGGACTATAGAAGCTGATGAGAAGGAATTAGATCTGGAAGTACTGTATATGCAGCAAGTAACAGCAAAGTCAGAAAGAATAAGAGGAGGGAAACAAAGGCAGGTTTTATTTTTCATCACAGCTGAGCTGGTCATATTCACTTATATGTAAACATTCATGGGAAAAAAGAACAACAGTAAAAATATGTTAAGGGAAAGCAAAGGATATTCAATTTATGAATATGTTTATATTCTCTTTTAACAATAATAACCTGTGTATACATAAATATATTCATTTTATATGAGTTGAATCACATTGCAGAATAGACCGACTGGAGAGTAATGTTCAACAAAGAGAGACAACCCGATTTAATAACATGTTTGTAATGCAGTTAAATTGTGGTGAAAACGAAGATTCACAGAAAACAGCATGTGGCACAGTTTTCATAAGAAGAAGAAGAAAAAAGTATTTGTATAACCTTGCAGGGCATATGTAATGTTTAACACTGGAGAATGTCTAAAGAATTCTTAAATTTTTGACCGAGTTTGACCAAACACTCTATGGATATGAAGTAATTTGCCTGCACTCTCTAACATACATACACTGTAGTTTTGTTCATTTGTTATTGACACAGGTTGAGTTCTGCTTAGAAACCTGTCTCTTAATAGCAACCTGTGTGTGTAGCTTTAAGAGAGTGAGGGACATCCGTGTTGTTTCCTAATGTTTTTTATTCATTTAGAATAATGTAATCATTTATATAATTGATAATTTACTCATGTCATATTTATATTTTTTTTATTACTTTATTGCAATGCTTGTTAATGTTGTTTAATCTTATGCTTGTGTGGTTTCAAGAGATTTTTGTCTTCACCAGTTCGAGATGAGAGAGCAGTCATTTCTCCGCATTGCTTTTGGTTTGGTATAATAACACTTGTAGGATCTGTGCTGGTCAGACGGAGTACAGAACAAAGTCCAGTAGAGACGAAGTCTGAGCTTTGAAACATTCGATTATTCAATAATCCATGCACATTTTTATCATCACTTCATCTCCGCCCTCATCCGTAAACCCCTCAGGCTGACAGAAGACTGTTAGTTTTGGGTATCAAAGCACTGATTTTGGATACAAGACAAAAACGATACCACACCACTCAAAACGAATGTCTCGGGATCTGATAAGGGACTGGATCCAGTATTCCTGGTGTGGAGATTCAGTCTAACATTTTTGCACAGCATGATCAAACACCCCGAGTACACTTTGCATGTATCTCGTCAAGCCTGGACCTGGTGAGTGAAGTGAGGGTTCATTTTGAAGTCAATGGAAACGAAATATACCAGATACAATATTATCAACCAAACAAGAAGAACATGATTTGTGAACTGTTCAAACCGAACCACTGTGAGTGTGTCTGTATAATTACGTGATTACTCATGGCTCTTAACTTATTCGGCGACTGTGATGACAGTTCATGTCATTGAGACGAGTTCATCTTGGAAACATGGTCTATCTCAAATGATCTTGACGATGGGGAAGTATTTGTACGCAGAGAAGTCAAATTCAGGAAGGGCCTACAAAGAAAATAGGCAAGGATTCGATGAATTTCACAATATCTCATATGCAAACTGTTTTTTGGAAGGAATTTAAGTTAAGCTCTATGACCAGCATCTGTGACATGCTCTCTGTTACTACTGGACATCATTTTGATTCATCTTCGGTTTGTAATAAAAATGAAAGTCTACGGGGCAAAGCATTCTCTGCTGGGTTTCAAAGCAGAAATGTTCAGTACGTATTTTTGTTCGATCACTTTTTGCACATTGTTCAATGCAAAAATGTTGTTTTTGAGTCCTGTCAGCAGTGGGACAACTACTCTAAGCAGAGGATCTTCTGATTATGATTTACATGTGAAGGCATATCATTTTCAAATAAATGTTTATTGTATCATTTATTCTGGCGCAGACTCTTTCCTAATAGACTTCTAGTGCATTACAGGAAACACAGTATTATTTGTTTTACACACTGAGAGTTTAACATGTGTTCTATGGTAACAGAGACAGGCCATAATGCGTTAAGTTGTACTGAACCCAGAAAATCCATATAAACATATTGTACCTTGGTCTCCTTCTTGTGTTCTCCAGCCAGCAGCTTCATTACAACAATATTGGGTTTGGCCACTTTTAGGACGCGGTTCACCTACAACAACCATCAGCATATCAGTCACTTCCTTTCACAATATACAATTAACAATGTGAGTACTTAACAATCATCAGTTAAGAATAATCTCATATATTTGTTGACATGCAGCAAATTCCAAATACATTTTTTTTAAATAAATAAAAATAAATAATATTAATTTATATATATATATATATATATATATATATATATATAGATATATATATATATATATATATAAAAAAGGCTATACCACAAGTTTATGTAATATCTGAAACATTTTATGGCTAAATTTGCTCTTCAACAATGTGATATATACATTGTGATAGATACAGTACTACCACTAAAAAATTTGGGATCAGCAAATTTTTGTATTTTTCAACAAATTAATAATTTTATTCAGCAAGGATGCATTAAACTGATCAAACATGCATTTATAATGTTACAAAAATTTGCTATTTAACAAAAAAAATACAATTTCACAGTTTCCACAAAAATATGAAGCAGCACAACGGTTTTCAACATTGATAATAATCAGAAATGTTTCTTGAGCAGCAAATCAGCATATTAGTATGATTTCTGAAGATCATGTGACTCTGAAGACTGGAGTAATGATGCTGAAAATACAGCTTTGATCACAGGAATAAAACACATTTTAACATATATTACAATAGAAAACAATTATTTTAAATAGTAATAATATTTCATTAATATTACTATTTTTACTCTATTTTTGACCAAATCAATGCAGAGACTTCTTTCAAAAACATTTATACTAAACCATTTGAATTAAATTGTTAAATTAGCATACATAGATATTAGCATTATAGATGTAAAAGTATAATTCATGGTTTGTACTTAATTCTTAATGAAACTTAATTCTGCATGAAACTGACATTGCAATGATCTTTTTTTTCTGTATTGCGATAAATATCCAAATGAAACCGCTTCTCAAAGAAACAATAATGTATAGGGCGGCACTTGAGTCAAGGGTAATCATAACCCATCCCTGCTGGCTATATTTTGGTTATAAGAATGGAAAGAAAGGTTCTCATAGCAGTATAAGGAGAGTTTGTACCTCTGCATTGGGGCTGGTGACGTTTTCAAGTATTAGTTTGGCCTGCTGGAAATGTTTACTCGCTGCCATATAGAGATCCGCTGAGCGAGGAGGAGGATTGTACTTCTTCAGATCTGACATCTCCTGCATCCCCACATACAAACACACTCGGCCCACTGTAATCTTTGCACAGAATAGTTGCGGTAAACATCATCTCGAAGCAGTAGTACCTTAAACTGGATGTAGTGCACTGGCGGCGGTGTGACGACGCTGTTGAAAGGGGCGAATCGATGCTTGTAGCGAACCTGCTCGCTGTCCAGCTCAAACTGAGGTTTGCGCACCTTTCTGTGCATATCCAATGCTATCATAGTCTGCAGAAAGAAAGACAGAAGAGTCAGTACCACAGTCAAAGAAAGGCATGACACTCATTTTTTTCATCTATTTGTTGATTCAAAAATACTTCTATGAGGAGTATGCTTTTGATTTTGGCAGCAAAATTCATTTTTATTTGGAGCATAAAGTCAAAATTAAAATACAACTGCGAGGAAACAAAACAAACAAAACAAAAAAAAAAAAACAAGACTGCTTACCTGCCTATTAATTTGAAGAACTTTTGTCCACCAAATGAAAGTCAAGTGGTGCAACCAAGAAACAAAACATAAAATATGAACTATATCATAGAGAGAAGAGCCTTATGAATCTGTGTCAATCTGTGCCTCTTTAAATCTCAAATAATTTGATCTTTTTTATTACAAGACAAGGTTAGTTCAGGTTGTAAAATGTCCTGTGGTGCGACTCGATGATATTTATGATTGAATAATTAATAATACCTGTAAAAAGTATTTAAAAATCATTATTAAAAAATAAAACAAGTCATACATGCAGTTGTATTTAAGTATTTTAAGTATTTTATTTTGTATTTGTAAAAAAAAAAAAAATTGTTATTTTTGCTTGACGGTTACACAACATTTTCAAAGTCATCTTTTGGCACATTTTAAACTAGATTTTTCCTTCTTTATTATGAACACTCTTATCACTGTCCCTCCAGTCAAATCCTGATGATCATGATTTATTTCTAATATTTCCATCTGAATAATCTCTGTCATTCTGAAACATTTGCAAATGCCATGTTGACAGCTTTGTGTGCGTGTCTGGAGGTGGTACCTTGTACATGCCGGCACACATGTTCTGGTAAGCCTGGCTCATGGTGATCGCTTTACTCAGAGGACGAGCTGACGAGACAATGTAAACACAATGAGTCAGACTGAAAGGTCACAATTCTACAAAGAGAACTGAGATTCCTGAATGGCTGTGAAAACCCTTCTTCTTCTTCTTGCTCTTCTTGCTGCTTCGTACTTTCAGCTGCTCCTCCAGGATTCTCTCCTCTGCCATCTGAGAGCTGTCGGCTCGACTCAGCGTGGACATGAGCCACGCATACAGGAACTCCGACAGATACCTGTACATACATGGAGAGAGAGAGAGACATGTTAACCATTCTCTCTCTCCAGACTCGCTGAATTAAACTGGCTGTTTTGCTACTGTCCCATTAAGACTATATGCAAATGACCTCTGTTGTGATTGTCTAACTTATTCATACGTGTAATGCTAATTCCCCACATTAATGTGCACTTTGGACTTCATTTAGGGCATCTTTCAGAGATGCACCAATACTGAAACTGTGGCTGATACCAATAAGCTGATAATTATATTAACATATTTACATATATAAAATATATAATAATAACATTAACATATTATATTCAAATATATTGTATAACACTTAACACTTAAGTATGTTTTTTGGCATTTAAATTCATTTTCATTTGGAGCATAACTTTATTTTTAAACTTTTACAATAAAATTGTGAGAAAGAATTAGAATTTATTATGCTATTAAATCTTTTGGCCATTTGTCGCTATCTCCTTAAATTAGTGCTCGATCGGAATCTAAGCTATGATCATAAAATAGGTGGAAATAACTCAATATCAAATATCATTCAATAGATATCCAACAACGGTCCAATAAATTGAAAATTATATATTCAATATATTGCGCATCGCTAGTTCCTGTGCATTCTGTTTTGTTTAGCTGTTGCATAATTGGTTATCTCTTTAAACTAGGTGTAGATAATGATCTAAACCTTAAAACAGGTGAAATACCGGGTGATACAGATAAATTAGGGCTGCACAATTATGACAAAAATCATAATTGTCGATTATACCCCTGAAATTGTAATTGCGATGATAAATTACGGTTATTGCAGTACACACTGAATGACAATTGTTTGAAGCAACGGCATTCTATATTTTTAGTTGGAAATAAACAAGCTGAAAACACTAACTGAAAACCTTTTATTGCTTCTCTATAGAATTAAAGGGATAGTTCACCCAAAAATTAAATGTGATGTTTATCCGCTTACTCCCAGGGCATCCAAGATGTAGGTGACTTTGTTTCTTCAGTAGAACACAAACGGAGATTTTTAACTCAAACCATTGCAGTCTGTCAGTCTTATAATGGAAGTGGATGGGAATCACGGCTTTGAGAGTAAAAAAAAACATACACAAAACCAAATTAAACCCTGCGGCTCATGACGATACATTGATGTGTAGACTTATAAGTGCATTACCGCCAACTATCTCTCAAATGGACCATTGACACTCTATCTACAATCTCAATTAGGAGTGTCAGTGGTCCACTTAAGAGATAGTTGGCGGTAATGCACTTATAAGTCTACACATCAATGTATCGTCATGAGCCGCAGGGTTTAATTTGGTTTTGTGTATGTTTTTTTTTACTCTCAAAGCCGTGATTCCCATCCACTTCCATTATAAGACTGACAGACTGCAATGGTTTGAGTTAAAAATCTCCGTTTGTGTTCTACTGAAGAAACAAAGTCACCTACATCTTGGATGCCCTGGG